AAAAAAGAAGTGAATTTCAAATTTAATTAATGTAATAATAATACTATAAAATTAATGTATTATTCACCTCACTATCAGCAACAAGGACTATGTTGCTGATAATGCACTATCAGCAACATAGTTTTTGTTGCTGAAAAGTGGGGTATATGCACTCCCCTTAACTTTTAGCAACATAAGCCATGTTACTGAAAATATGCTTTCAGCAATATAGGCCATGTTGCTGAAAATGGGGTTAAATTTATCCTCATCTTCTGACTACCGATTTATCATTGATTTTCAGCAACATAAGCCACGTTGCTGAAAGCATGTTTTCAGCAACGTGCCTTAAGTTGTTGAAAACTCTTTACCACTTACCGATAACTCTTGCTGGATTCCGATGAACAATTTCACCAACATGGAGCACGTTGCTGAAACTATATTTTCAGTAACGTGCATTATGTTGCTGATGTATTAGCAACAATTTGCTTGTTGGTGATGTATTAGCCAGCAAGGCTTCTCCAACAAGGCTTTTACCAACAAAAACCATGTTGCTAAAGGACTTTCAGCAACATGGGAGGCACTTTGAAGCATGTTGCTGAAGGCTTGAATTTTAGTAGTGCATGCTTATAATTCAAATTTAAAAACTCTTAATTTTATTAAAAAGAGATTACCAATTGTGCGAACACAGCAAAACTCTAGATGTGCCAAGATAATTAAAGAAGCAAAAGAGAAACATGAATCTTAATACTAACCAATCTCTGAGCATACTAAATGTGAAAATTGTGCATGTGGACTTTAACATAAGGTTTGCATCCAACTTAAAATCAGTTGATAATAGGTGGAGTGGCTTTCCTTAAATTTAACCCACGAGCTTCTTCGTTATATACTCGATGTGGGATTTTCCTACTCAACATGCCATCTTATGTGCACGAAGAAACTTTTGAATTAAATATAAAGAATGCTACTCTATCTTTTGCACATAGTATCAAAGCCCAAGTTGATAGGACTCAAAGTTGATACTGGGCCTACATATAATGGGACATATTAAATCACATGACAGAGCCTGACATTCATAGTGAAGAAGTTGCTAAAATATATGGTGAAGAAATCTGTAATAGATGAACAAAATAAAAGATAAATGAGAAAGAGGAAGGCATGATATTACATAATTTGAAAAAGTACCAAGACATCATGATGAATCAAGACCCCCTACTCCATAATACAAAAGCCTATGGGTTATATACATTTATTTCTCTTCCATTCTTTTCTTACATATAATCAATCCTATGTATAGGGTGACGGATAAGTAATATAAAAGAAATAACAATTAATTGGAAATCTTCCTATTAATGAAATTACAATCAATATCAAACCCTTGAAATCAATCAATTGATAAATTGATTTCTCATGATTTGGCATGATATTTCTTCCTTCTATATTTGGATCCTATTTTTTTTTCTTTTTATATTAGGATCAATCATATTATGATTTGATTCTCTTTGCTCCCCTCAAGTTGGAGTATAGAGATGTTAATTGAGTGTCCAACTTGCTTGTAAATCACCTCTAAGGGCTTAGAGAGAGAACTCTAGAAGATGGCCAAATGGTCTCCTCCTGTCCCTTTAAGAAAGTAGAATTTTTTTTTTTTTTGAAGATGGCCAAATGGTCTTCAATTTGTATTTAAAAAAAAAATTCTTTCTCTCCTTTTTTTTTTTTATACCTCTTTTTTTTGTTTCTTTTTCAAAGGAAAGATGGGAAAATATATAGAAGGGTGGGGGAAAAAAATGAC